GTCAAAAATTATATGTCCATAGGTGTGTGGGTTAATGTCAGGGTCTTCAATTCGATTCCATTGGTCAACATGTCGGTTTTTATGCCAATACCAAGCTGTTTTTATTACTGTAGCTCTATAGTAGAGCTTGAAGTCAGGGATTGTGATGCCTCCAGAAGGTGGGAGCACATTCTTGCACCGTGTGGGTTTTGAAAATCAAACCTTGGGTCTTTAGTGCGAGCGGCTGTACCAGCTGAGCCACCTTTATGGCCCTGCTGAGGTTGCTTTTCTTCCTGGAATTGCAAGCATGCACCACTCCATCTGAAGGCTGTGGTGCTGAGATGTGAGCCCAGGCCCTGTGCATACACTAACAAATATTTTTTCCTCACTAGAAAGATTTAGCAAGAGGGTTGGAGAGATGTCTCAGCAGTTAAAAGCACCTGTTGCTCTTTCAGGGGACCAAGATTCAGTTCCCAGCACCCTCATGGTGGCTCACAACTTTCTGTAATGCCTTGTGACTTTGGAGGGTATCAGGCACACATGTGGTGCACATATATACTTGCAGGCAAAACACTCCTATACATAAAATTTAATTAAAAAAATTTTTAGCCAGTAAGCAAGGCAGGCACTTAGAACGGCATCCATATTAATGTACCTGCAAATATGACTTTTACTTTTATTTTCAGGAAAAGCTAGATATCTAGCTGAGCTAGGCCAGAGGCACTCCTGCCCCATTACTGTAATGTTTTACACATGTGCTCCATGACCTGAAGCTAAACATGTCCAAATATGTCTGTTCTGGGTTGTTCTTAAGTTGTGACGTTAAACCAAGCATGCTCAGGAATGCACCAATCCCTGTGAGCATGTGTAGGCTCCCTGGATAAAACCTTTGTTCCAGGAGGGCATTGCTTTGGAAATAACTCATGTGCTGCCTTGCCTGTTGCAGGTAATATGTCTTCCCCCACTCTTTCAAATCTTGGCTGTCTATCATTGTTTTGTCTTTGCACCCACAAAGATGTGAACTCATTGTATCCAGTTAAAGAATTTTATGAAATTTCAAATATTTCATATTTCAAATTTCAAACTGCACTTTGGCCAGTTAGAATAATGTCCTCCAAGTTCCTCCATGTTTTTGAACAATAGGGTTTCTTTGTTAGAACTAGGAGTATTTGGGACAGGAGTCTTGCCATGTTGCCTAGGATGGTCTCAGATTCTTGCAGTACTATTGAGCTAGGTTGGTCTGAGACATTCCCTACATCCCTGTTGTACGGAGAAGGAATGTAGTTCCTTCTCTGAAAGCAGAATTATGTTTGGCAAGACCAGTCATGGCCTGGGGCCAGGGTCCTGGGGGAGCTGCTACTTCATCCTGAGAATTCAGCTCCTCCCACAGAGAGTGCTATAGTTATCAGTCCCCCAGCTGAGTGTCCTCTGAATGCAGTTGAGATAGCTTGTGTCTCTTTGTGAGACATTGCTTGATTAGCTTCCTGCTGGCTTTGTCCCATCTTCCCCACTGAAGAAGTTGTACTTTTTTGTTTTGTTTTGTTTTTGGAGACAGGGTTTCTCTGTGTATCTTTGGCTGTCTTGGAACTTACTCTGTAGACCAGGCTGGCCTTGAACTCACAGAGATCCTCCTGCCTCTGCCTCCTGGGTGCTGGGATTAAAGGTGTGCGCCACCATGCCTGGCCTAGAAGTTGTACTTCTTAACAAGATTGAAGATTTCCTGACCCCAGCTTTGCTATCTTCGATATCCTCTCATACCTTGGTTCACTCTCTCACAGGAACCTGACATTGAAGAACTACCTGCTGCACTAGTTCAGACTACAGTGATCCTCCTGTGTCAACCCGGAGTAGCTGGGACTACAGGTGTGTGCCATGATCCCTTGCTAATTTCCTTAACTGAAAAGCTGAATAGTATCATTCACTTTTATCCACTCACTCGCCAAGGACTGCTTAACAGTGGGTGCTGTACAATGATGTTCTTTGGAGACATATGTTGGTAGAAAATGAACTAAGCTGGATAAGGCTTCATCTGCTTTTGAGCTAACTTAACTAAAAGAGTTATGTGGAGGATGCATTGGCAGCTTTGTACAAACTGCCGAAGGAAAGGTGAAAAAAAACCACAATGGCCTGTCATGTCACAGGGAACCTCCATGATTGCTGTTAAGCACCATGGCATTGCTGTCCTCAGCATTTCCTGAGATGGTTTGTATGATCTTTTCTTAGAACTTTGTTCAACAGCAATGGCTTGGTGTCAAGAGCTGGGTTCAGTGAGGCCCCAAATGCTTGCTATACAGAAGCACCAAACGCAAGCCAATGATTCCGTTTTAAACAACTTGGAGTAGCTGGGCAGTGGTGGCACACGCCTTTAATCGCAGCATCCCAGAGGCAGAGGCAGGCAGATCTTTGTGAGTTCTAGGCCAGCCTGGTCTACAGAGTGAGTTCCAAATTCTCAAAATTGAGCCTTCCTTCTATTCTTCACTAAGAAAAACACGGTGGTGATCTTGTATACAACAGACAGTCTCTCACTCCAAATGAGATATCCAAACAAGTCGGGCACCATTTTTCTTTAATATGGGCTATTGTCTTTCTTTGGTGACTAGTTTAAGTTCTGTTGAAAGGAAAAACAAGTTTAAATTATGAGTGAGTTTAAAGAACAAAGCAGTGGGAATGATTCGAAAATTGGGTTGCCCTTAGAGTCAGAACAGTCTCTAAGAGTTGTGGCCAACAACAGACATAGTAGCATTTAAAGAAAACAAATTGAGGAGAGAATTCAACTGGTTCCAGCTTAATTACAAAGTCAGAGTGTTGGCTTTTTGTCACCAAGATAGACAACTTAGAAGTTTAAAATATTTGTTTCGGGTCATAGAAATTGTCTTTCTTTAGTTTTTTGTTTGTTTGTTTGTTTGTTTGTTTTTAGATTTACTTTTTTTTGTATGTCTGTGTATGGGCGTCCTGCCTGCTTATATGTTTGTGCAGTGCTTAAAAAAACCAGAAGAGGGCGCTGAAGTCCCTTGGAACTGGAGGTAAAAATGGTTTATAGATGTTCTGTGGGTCCTGGGGATTGATTCTTGGCCCTCCAGAAGAGTGGTCAGTTCTCTTAACCACTGAACCATCTTTTTAGCCCCCTTTCCTTTTGAAATAAGGGCTCTTGTATACCAGGCTAGCTCAGAACTGCCTATGTATCAAACTTACTATGTAGCTGAGAATGACCTTGAACTTCTGATTCTTCTGCCTGTACTCCCTTAGTGCTGGTATGTGCCATCATACTTGGTCAGTGAAGTGATGTGGGTTGAATTTAGGGCATTGTGTATAGTGGGAAAGTAATACCAACTGAAAGTATGTCGCCTTCAAAGGCATACCCTGAGTGAGCCAGCTTCCTCCAGTTAGGCTGCGTCCTAAAGATCCCACCACCTCCCAACAGCACCATAAGCAAACAACCACATCTCTAGCATATAGCCCCTGTGGACAATTGAGATCCAATGTATAATATAATGTTTATCTTATTTATTTACTTATTTATTTATTTAGTTTTATAATGCTTATGTTTTATGACTGAATTCTATGTGGTTTGCTGTGCCTGGTTTAGTAGAGGAGGGTATCTCAAATCAATGGCCTCTCACAAATTTTGTTGAGCAATCCTTAAAATCATGGGAGCACCTGAGCAAACACCTACCCATGATTCTTTTTTTCTTTTTTTTCCTTCTCAACATGTAGCTCTGGCTGTCCTAGAACTCACTATGTAGACCATACTGGCCTTAAACTCACAGAGATCCACCTATTTCCGCCTCCCAGGTGATAGGATTGAAGGCATGTGCCACAGTGCCAGGTTATTGACCAGGTGGACCTTTAGATTTTGAGCCTGAGAGAATGACAGACAGGCGGAAACATTTCACTTCGAAGACGGATTTTGCCAGGCGTGGTGGTGCACACCTTTTGTCTCAGCACACTCAGGAGGAAGAAAAAAGGTGGATCTCTGAATTCCAGGCCAGCCTGGTCTACTGAGCAGTTCCAGGACAGCCAGGGCTACACAGAGAAACCCTGTCTCAAAACAAGCAAACAAAAACAAAACAGAACAAAAAACCCAAACAAAATAAAAGAAGGACTCTTTGCCCTTCAAATTTCATATCAATTATTAGCAAAGGACTGTAACACACAGTAACAATAGATGTATTTCTGGGACTGTTGAGAGGTAGGATCAAAGACTCAACTCTGTGATAGATCATTAGCTTATAAATGGGGATGGGATACAGCTTAAAGTTTTTGCCCTGTGAATTGTGAGGATCAGAGTTCAGATTCCTAGAGCTCTTGTACAAATGCTGGGCAATGCTAGCTGCTTGTAATCCCAGCACTCAGGACGTCGAGGCAGATCCCTGGGGCACCAGTGCTGGTTAGACTGTAAATCACTAAGTAGTGCTATGAAAATGAACGGCCTCCACCGCCAGTGGCAGTCCATGACAAAGCTTCTCTATCTCACACCCTTTCAGTCTATTCCACCTGCTTGTGATGCTTTGCAGTGAGTTAGTGAAAGGACTGAGCATTCATTTCTAGAATTTTCATTTGCTTTTGTTCAGAATGCATGTCTCTTTGAATTTCTCGTTCAAACTGCTGTATTTCTTATCCAGATGATTCTGTTTCTTGCTTGTCTCATTGCTAGGACAAAAAGCTTGGAAAAGGCCCACCGCGGAAGGAAGAGATTCAGTCCACCAGTGCAGGGAAGGTTATGGTGGCAAGATTAGGAGGCAGCTGGTCATTCACGGGGAGGAAGCAGTGAGTGATAGAGCTGATGCTTGCTTGATCTCATCTTTATTTGGAGCAGGACTCCAGCCCATGTTAGGGTGACTCTTTCTCTTCGGTTAGCTCAACCAACCCCTCAGAGGCAGGCTCAGAAGCACCACGTGTGTGCCTGGACTCATTCCGAGGCGTCTGTCCCTGGGAGGTTCTAGATTCTGTAAAGCTGACAGTCAACACTACTACCAAACACCTCCTGTCCCCACAGGCTCATATTGTAATGTAAAATAGTCAGCCCAACTTTAAAATCCCCCAAACCAACAATTCCAGCACTAAAAACCCCAAGTCCAAGTCTCCTCTAAGTCTTAGAATAGTCTCTTTTTAAAATGTATTCTGTATTCATTATAAATGTAAATGTATTCATACAATACATCCTGACCATAGATAGTTTCCCCTCCCTCCATTACCCCCACATCTCCCCTCTCCCCCAGATCCACTCCTCTTCCACTTCCCTTCAGAAAAGAGCAAGCCTCCCAGGGACATCAACCAAACACAGTATTATGGTATAGCAAGACACAACAAGACTAAGCACAAACCCTCATATCAAGGCTGGGGGAGGCAAGCCAGAAGTAGGAAAGGGTCCTTAGATCAGGCAGAGTCAGAGACACCCCTGCTCCCAATGTTAGGGATTAGGACAATCTCTCTTTTTAAAAAATATTTATTATTTACTTATGTATACAGTAGTCTGCCTGTATGTATGCCTGCACACCAGAAGAGGGCACTAGATCTCATTATAGATGGTTGTGAGCTACCACGTGGTTGCTGGGAATTGAACTTGGGACCTCTGGAAGAGCAGCCAGTGCTCTTTTTTTTATTTTATAATTAATTTAATTTTACATATCAGCCACGGATTCCCCTCCCACCCCCAGCTTCCCCCTCCAACCCATCCTCCATTCCCACCTTCTCCAAGGCAAGGTCTCCCCTGGGGAGTCAGCCCAGCCTGGTAGATTCAGTTGAGGCAGGTCCAGTACCCTCCTCCCTGCACCAAGGCTGAGCAAAATGTCTCAGCATAGGCCCCAGGATCCAAAAAGCCAGCTCATGCACCAAGGACAGGTACCAGGGAGCTCCTTAAACAGTTCAAGCTAGTCGACTGTCTCACTTACCCAGAGGGCCTGATCCAGTACCATGGGGGCTCCTCAGCTATTGGTTCACAGTTCATGTGTTTCCACTAGTTTGGCTATTTGTCCCTGTGCCTTTTCCAATCATGGTCTTGATATCTGTTGCTCATATAATCCCTCCTCTCTCTCATCGACTGGACTCCTAGAGCTCCGACTGGGGCCTGGATCTCTGCATCTGCTTCCATCAGTCACTGGATGAGAGTTCTATGATGACAGTTAGGGTGTTTGGCCATCCGAACACCAGAGCAGGTCAGCTCAGGCACTCTCTCAACCATTGCCAGTAGTCTATAGTGGAGGTATCTTTGTGGATTTCTGGGGACCTCTCTAGCACTCTTCTTCTTCCTATTCCCATGGGAGTCTTCATTTATCATGGTATCTCTGTCCTTGTTCTCCCACTCTGTTCCTGATCCAGCTGGGAACTCCCACTCCCCTAAGCTCTTTTTCCCCTAATGCTTGCCCTCCATTACCCCCTCCCCCCAGTTTGTGAGTTGCAGTCTGGTTATGCTTTGCTTTACATCTAGTATCCACTTATGAGTGAGTACATACCATGTTTGTCTTTCTGAGTCTGAGTTACCTCACTCAGGATGATATTTTCTAGTTCCATCCATTTGCCTGCAAACCTCATGATGACATTGTTTTTCTCTGCTGAGTAGTATTCCATTGTGTATATGTACCACATTTTCTTTATCCATTCTTCAGTTGAAGGGCATCTAGGTTGTTTCCAGGTTCTGGCTATTACAAATAATGCTGCTATGAACATAGTTGAGCATGTGTACTTGTGGGATGATTGGGAATTCTTTGGGTATATGCCCAAGAGTGGTATAGCTGGGTCTTGAGGAACACTGATTCCCAATTTTCTGAGAAACCACCATACTGATTTCCAAAGTGACTGTACAAGTTTGCATT